GCTTTTTATTTTTTTTCTTGAATACACATAGTCAGAATGGTACTATAAGCAAAGTTATGGAATCCAAACATAGTATACCTCTCCCATGAATAAAGAATTGTATAATTCTCTTCAATATTATATGGGTTTACACTTATGCATATATCAGCACTTACATTACCTTACACCTACATTAGTCTGAGTGATCAGCTGGCTGCTAATTCAATATAACTTCTTTATCAATCTACCTCTACAGACCTGGTGTTCAGCAAAACTAAACCTATATAATATCAAAGATGTAGAACAGAAGAAGCCTTGTAGCTAGGATTGAAGAAGGAATATTACAAACTGGCAAGCAGGCATTTTAAAAGTGTGGCCAAATATCATATTCTCATTACTGATAGTAAGTAGATGATTGCATTTCTGTTGGTCAAAACTAGAAGCTTTTATCCCTTCTAAATTAGTATTAGATGACAGATGTGCTGGCCAGATTCTGTAAATTTCAGAATAAGCTTGTTCGATAAACATGACAGGAAATTAGAAACAATTTTAGCTATGCCTTAAATAGGAGCTGGCATAATGGTGCTACAGAAATTAGAATTTTTCTAAGCCCATTTCAAATATATCGGATAATTTATGCTATGACTCAAGTATAAACTGCAAGTGACTATCCTTTGTGGGAACAATTTACTACTAGAAGCTAAGAAACTTACCTTCATCATCTAGATCATTGGCAATGTGATGCAGGACTTGGGGGCACAGAAGTTTAAAGCAAAGTAAATACTCATATTTATTGTTCACAACAGAGATCACAGGACTTGTATGCCTAATATATTTTCAGAGTTGTAAAACTGTAAGCATTTGTGACAAGTATGTGACTAAAAGTAAAAACATGCCGTAAGTATTTATCTTATCAACAGACCCAGTTTTGTATGTTTTGGTTGCATTTGGCTGGAAAAATTAAGTCTTGGAATCTTTAAAAATCTATACACAACTAGAAGGATTCATTTTTTAAAAAATAAAGCTTATCTGATTCATGTGTTGTGCATATATTGTGTATGTTATGTGTATGTGTGTATACAGTCACACATACACAGACACACACACACACACACAGAAACAGTCTGAGCCGCCTTAGACTAAGGGCCGTGGACTGGCTAGACTGAGATTTCTAGGGCTGTCAAGATGTGAATTTGGAAGGCAACAGATTTTTTTAAGGTTTATTTTTTTATAGTTTGGATTTATAGATGCTTTTAAATTATTGCAGACATTGTAGGTCAGCTCTTTTGGTTTGATTTACAAAACAAAATCAAGGATAGTCTGATAGCAGCTTTTCCAGTTAACAAATTTCATTAAAAGGCATAAACTTTTGTGATCTGTTGCTCAGTTCATCACACAGGGCCACAAGATCAATGTAGGATTTTAGTTCAAACAATGCTGTGCGGGAGGGGGAGGGAGGCTGAGACAGGTTGTTTGGCAGATGTCTCCCCCTCCTGGGAGGTGATATGAGGGGAAATGTTAAAGGGAAAATGCTAAAGGCAGAAAGGAAATGAAGAGGTAAGATGGCAGAGCACTGAATATTTTAAGCCAGTAATATTGTTCTAGTCAAGCAGAAAGTTATGAGTTCAAGAGGTTCTCACATGATTTTATGACTACCCATAACAATAATCTAAATTGAACTGTTATTTCCATATATTCTGAATAATCAGTGTTAAGCTTCATCAATTTGGTGTCCTTCAGATTACAATAATGCCAATGTGGTTGGAGAAGGCTAGGAGCTATAGTTCAACAGATTAGGAGTACTTTAGGCTGCACACGAGATGATGACAGAATTCCAGAGAGCAACTTTCCCTTTCAAGCAAGGCAATAGGCACAGAAACCTATTTATCTGCTCTGATGGCCAGTTTTTTTCTGTAATAATTTTGCACAGAAAGCAGACAGTCTGATTTGTAGGCATAGAACTGCACTGAATTTACAAATGCCACATTCGATGTGAATCCAAGAGAAGTTGGGAAAGTTCCTATAATAGCTTTTTGACCAGGCAGATTCAGGATATGACACCATAGCTACCTATAGCCTTATCCAACATTGAAACATTTAATGGGGTATTGATGGAGAGCAGCTGTCTCAGTCAGGAGAAGGGGTCAAGCAGGAAATTAGTCTGGAATCATTATATAAACAATAGAGAGCAATGTCTGACCCCTCCTGAATGCCTTTGGGCCTTATCTGGTCTTTCCCAGGCCAAAGCTACCAGCTGGGGCATTCCTCTGGAATAGACGTAGAACAATAAAGTAGCTTGTTTGAACTCTTAAAAGTGTGGGTCTTTTTGTTTACACCTGACAGGTACCTATCAATAGAACTTATTTTCGCATTTCTAGCACATTTGAGGATTTGCTGATCAAGATGGTATAGGAAAGTCCACCTGTGTTTGTTTTGTGGGTTTGATTTTTAGTTTGGGAACATTTCCCTTTTGGAACTAAATTACTCCTGCAATCTGGAAAGAATTTGATTCTTCCATTATTCAAATTTTTTACTTTGGTGTAAACAGTAGGATTAAGGAGACAAAAACCTAAAGCTTAAGTCAGAAGGAAAAAGAGTAGATGCTTCACATTCTTATTAGAGAGTAAAGTAGGGTAAGGTAGGGTAGGGTAGGGTAGGCTAGAATCGAATCGAAACAGAAATAGAATCATGGGGGCTAGGGCCTTGAGCTCTCATAATCCAACCCCCTGGTCAAGGCAGGAGTTCTTATTCCATCCCTGTCAAATGGTTGTCCAATCTTTTCTTGAAAACCTCCAGCGATGGAGCCCCCACAAATCCAGGAGGCAAGCTGATTGTTCTCAATCTCAGGAAATTTCTCTTTAGGTTGGATCTCATTCTGAGTGGCTTCTGCCCAGTTTCTTGTCCAGCCCTCAGGTGATTTGGAGAATAGATACATGCCCTCTTCCCTGTGAGAACCCTTCAAGTATTGGAAGACGGCTATCATGTCACCCCTAAGACGTCTCTTCATTAGTTTGACCTGTAAAGTCTCACTAAGATCATTCTGACCCTAGCTTGGCTTTCTTTTGGTGTGTGCGTGTGTGAGAGAGGAGTGGGGGGGAGACAGGAAGCAAAAACTATAGTTTTTCTTCTTGGCACAAATTGCACCATTTTAAGAAGGCACAAAAGGCCCTTTCTTCTCAGAGGCAATGCTTTATAATTAGACTATTTTATTTGAAAACTCAACAAAATTTTGAGCAGCATTCAACTTTGTTACTATGTGGGGGATGGGACTTGCAACCGGAGGGTGGGCAGCCTATGGAAACTGTAATATAGGATGGGGAGATTTTTTTTCTCAGAGTATTAGTGGCAGTGTCAAATTTGCACATTACTAGCCATCATGTACAGGTAATCCTCAAGTTTAAAAATGTAATGGACCTGCTAATTACATTCGTAACCTGAGGATTCATAGGAGTGAATCACGTAACTTGAACATGATCACTTCCTGTTTTTGCCCATGCATTCGCTGATCGAAATGTGCGGTTCCTTAAGTGCACAAGGTATCTCAGGGTAGGGAAGGCTATGGGGGGCCTAGTGCTTCTGACCACTCAAGGCCTCCCCCAACCCACTAAGTTATCTCAGGCTTCCCCCTTCTCCCCATCCTGCCTGACCGAGTCACTTACCTTACGTAGATCTTGATGAGCCAGGGAGGTCTCCTCTACAGTCTCTCTGCCACGGTTTCACATTGAGCAAAGGCTTACCAAGGCCTACAGGGACACACGTGCCTCCCGGCCTTTGTTCTCAGTGGCAAAGATGGCAAAAGGCTTTGCAAATGGAGGGAAGGATTCGGTGCTTCAGGCCTTCTCTCCGTTTGGCAAAGCCTTTTGCCGCATATCTCATCCAGGCCTCCTTTTGTAGAAAACAGAGACCTAAAGTACTGTGAGATCATGCAAGATCAGTAGCATGAGATGTCAGGCTGATCTCACGTGATCTTGTGGTACTTTAGGCCTCCATTCTCTGCGAACGCACTGAAGGCCTGAAGCACCGAAGCAGGCCAAGAAACCGAAGGCTCGCTAGATCTTTGCAAGGCGAGTATCCACAGGCCCAGTGCTTGTGGAGACCCGGCAGAGGGAGGGGAATAGGCAGGGCGAATGTTGCAGTGCCTCTGTGGTCATTCATAAGAGTGAATGACCGCTGTGGTGCTGCAACATTTGTAACTTTGGGACTGTGTCGTAAGTACTTGGGGAGGGTTATGTCGTAACTTTGAACGGTCACTAAGTGAACTGTAACTCAAGGATTACCTGCAATATATTCTATCAATGATTTCTGATAGATTGTCCCCATTGACATAAATGTTATTGTAGACAATTTTCTTCTTTTTGATTTTATTTCTGGCTTATTTTTGTAATTTTGTTTTTAAATCATATCTGAATATTATACTTATTCAACAAAATATAAGAGAGAAATATTAGTAATTCTCCCCATTTTCTTTGACAGTTTATTTATTCTCATTTCTAAGGCTGCCGAATTGATGATTAATGAGAAGGAAAGGGGCACTAGGGGGATGCACATAATAGTCTTTCCGCCACAAAGGCAACATTCAAAAGGGGGAAAAAATGTGTAGGTGTAATGGTAGTGACTTTCTGTTAACTTCAATGATCTTATGTCTCCTTTTAAGGGTCTTGACAATGCAGAGAAGCAGCAATGTCATTCAAGATTAAAAATGTCAGAAAAGTGTGAGTGAGTGAGTGAGAGAGAGAGAGAGAGAGAGAGAGAGAGAGAGAGAGAGAAGGAGAAGAAAAGAAAGCTGTATATTTAATCACAGTCCATCTGCGCAGGAAGCCATATTGGGGAGATGCTTGAAGGCTACTTAAAAGTAATTTCAATCCCACCAGCTCTGGAGGAAGTCAGTGAGATTTTGAGAAAAGCACAAATGGACAAAGATTATTTTTTTTTGCAAGATTACCCAAATGCCCCTATTCAACACAGAATCTTGATTCTCTAGTTGGATTTGTACAAACAGAAGAGTCACTGTGGACAAGATGTCTAGAGAAATAGAATTTATCAGTCTCTGAAGGGATTTTAACAGGATTCAGAAATTCAGGCATCATCAATCAGTTTCTCTCCATTTTCTTCCTCTTTTTTATGGCATTCTCTACTTCCACCAGCTTCCTCTTCCTCCTCCTCTTCTGCTCCATCCGTGAAGACATCCTTTTGGCCGTAACTCAATGTGGTACGTGCTAGGTCCACTTCAATTGGGAAAACATCTGCACCCCTTAGCACAGCATAACAATCATCATAGTACTTGGAAAGCGTGGACACAAAACGCTGGAGTTGGAATACAATATCTTGCACTGCAAAAGAGGGAAATTATTGAACAAAGAGGAACAAAAATATACATTATCCTCAGCTTATAGCCTAAGGTGTGCTTTACAAATGGCTAAGATGATACCTTTGACTCTTTCAGGGTCAAATATATTTTCTTTTCATCCAGTATTCTTGTTTCTAAGGAGCTTGATTGATTTTCTTGATAGTTTTCATCTGCAGATCTACGTCACTCAACTTTCTGGGAGGTCATTTGGATCTAAAGAAAAGGCAACCACACTTACCGTGTTTCTGGTCTAGCAGCTCCATCTTTTCTAGCACATCCTTCCTCATTTTGGCAAAACGTGAACGTGCCTCCTGGCGGCAGCGCAGGATTAAACGATATTCATAGTTCCCAGTTCCAACCCGGTAGAGAGGTTCTCCCATAGCCTATCAAAAATACTGTGTTACTATAACAACCTATGGGGTAGACTGGGCAACATCTCATATATGTATTAAAGCTTCTTTCATGCATCCTAGCAAACTGTGAGCTCCTCACATGATGGTGCTACATCTTTACTTGGCCAACAGACATGAAAGCAACTTTTACTGAAGGAGCAGACGCCTAGAACCCTGAGGGTAAGAAAACAAACATTTAAGGAAACAGAAACTCATCACAAGGTCGTCACATGGTAGATGAGATCAAGGAACAAATCAGGAAGATTGTCAAGTTTTTCCATTCCAAATTAATGGTGAATTTATCCTGTAATTATAGAAGCTTTAATGCAAATCAATATGGACAGACTGGACAGATGTTCAACACTCCCTAGAGTCATTTGCTTGAAACTTTAATTTTAATCTTTAAACTTTAATCTCTGTAATTTGCATTAACTATAATTTTGTTCAATTTATTACCATATGCTTTTTCAATAAAAAAGAAAAGTCTGATATGAATTTGGTCCTCAAAATTTCAACTTTAGAAAGCTTTTCTTTTGTTCAAATAAAAATAATGGCACACCAGATGCTTATCAGACGATTTGGCCTTTCCATCTAAGTCTGAGAGGAGACGATGTGCTGGAGATCATAGTCATTATGGGAAACAGAAGCCACCAAATATATCTCTGTATTGAGTCACTAGGATATTATCTATCCCGCTTCTATGCAGTGGCAATCAAACATTTGGCCTCTCTTCAGTAGAACTCATTAATACTTAAACAATCTATGATCGTGGAATGCAAGGGAATCAATCTTGTGTTACTGCACTCAAAATTCCAATCTGATGCAATGTTTCTGGAAGGCGTCAAAGTGGAAAGGCTACCCTGAAAGCATGCCAGATGAAAATGATAGCTGAGATAAAACATTTCAGTTTGAAAATTTGAAATAAGGTATAAACTTAATTCTTAAGCACCTTAAGAGTTAGGGAAAACGGAAGCATCTAGAAGGTTCATTTGATAAGACTTGGCAACACAATGCAAGGTTCAATATGGAATGTTCACAATAAACTTCCCTAAATTTAAATCTTTGAAAACAAGCAAGTATTTGAGTATGTCTATGAACAAATCTGGGATTTCAGTAGAAATTAGAATCTCTGTACTTACAATGCAGCTGTACTCTTCATCATCCATCTCTTTCACCTTTAGACAATAGGACTGAAAGGGAACAAAAAGCGCACAGTGTTACAGGTTACAGAATAACCAACCAGTTATAACAAAGACAAAAATAAAATGTTCCACAGTCCATTCCATTAAATGCAGTAAGTGTTATACTGAATTGTTAGATATATACACACATAAAAAAATAAAAAAGCAGAAGTTTGATCAGTATTCTTTGAGTGTAAATTCAAAGCATAAAAAAGATTGGAATTATCTTTCAAAGAATGTGCATTTTAAGCCTTTTGTTTTTTCTAAAGGAATAATTAAAACAAAAAGAACAGCTCACCAAATACTCAAACTTGACATCCAAATACTTCTTGATAGTTAACCTAGTATCAGGAATTGCTTTGTTCAGATAGGTGTTCAAGTCAGTCAACATCTGTAAGGAAATACTAGGAGTGAAAAATGAAGATAAAGCAAAATAAAACAGACAAGCTTTTGCATATGAGAAGGCTCATCATCCAACATTAACTAGTATATGATTTGGGGACATTTCTGTTGACTCTCAGAGTAGGTAAGCCATTTGGCACATAATAGATTAACTTTCTCATTATATGGACTGAGCCAATCTGAGCTAGCTCCAAGTACCAGTGCTGTGTTGTTCCAATCCAAAACAATATTATTTCTACCCTGCCATCTCCATATGCTATCCTGTCTCAATTCAAGGCAAGGCAGACTAATGAACTTTATCTCAAGTTTGATATGAGAAAGTGCCTTGCCCTTATTTCTTGCCTAGCTTGCAAAGAATTAAGAAGAGGAAACTGAATAAACAGGTCATGTGGAAAGCCTCACAGATTAATAAACAAAGAGGCCCTATAAAGCGAAGAGTTGTAGCTCACTGGTGTAGTCAGATGAAACCATCTCACATTCTTATGCCTTTTATCAAGCACCATTTATCCCTCCATCTTTTACATCCCCAGAAACAGTAAACTTTTAGCACTGTACCTTATGTTGTGTGAATTGAACAGCAGAGAGAAAGAGAGTGGGGAATGTATGTAAGATACCAAAAAGAGCCAAACACTATGCAAGAATACTGTTTGGTTTTGGCCCTGTCATCACTCTGTCACCATCATAGTCTAATAGTTGTAAGTCAACTGTTTTGTCTCATGACTTGACAGCCACTCAGAAGGAAAAAGTTCCCATCTATTGACAGTGTGACATTGGAATTCTATACAGGTAGTCCTCGAACTTAAAACCATTAGGTTAATAAATGTTTGATGTTATGATGCTGATGAAACACGGGACTTACAACCATTCTCATGCTTACAACTGTTGCAGCGTCACTGTGGCCACATAATCAAAATTTGAGGGCTTGGCAACTGGCATGTATTTATGACACTGTAGTGTCCCAAGATCACATAATCCCCATTTGCGACCTTCCCAGGGGGCTTCCAACAAGTGAAGTCAATGGAGGAAACTGGATTCATTTAACAACTATAGCAAAAAATCAGACACTGTTCCTTTAACGACTGCATTGCTTAGCGACAGAAGTTCTAGTCCCAATTATAGTCATAAGTCAAATACTACCTGTACCCCAGACTTAGTGATATAAAACTTCTCAACTCTCAGTTGTGTTACCTACCTAGATTATCATATTAAAATGATATTTTATCTATTTTATTTAGTAAATATGTATGGCCATCATCTCACATGAAGTGACTCTAGGCAGCATACAACCATTACTATAAAACAACAAATAGATATTTAAATTATCAATTATAGTTACTAATTGTTTTTATTAAAAATATAGCCTCTATGTACAGTTTTTATATAAAGAATTATTGTTTTGAGCATAATAAAGATAAAACACACATTCTTACTGGTTTAATGGTTTTTAAAAGATGGATTCCAAACTTCTCAATACTGCGATGAGCATCAGCAAATTTTACAAATGCTTCACTGGCTGCTGGCTGAGGTTCCCGTACACCAATAACCGAAAAAACATCACCAAATGCTGGTCATCATACAGCAAAAACATGCAATAGAAACTGGAGTCAAAAATCATAGATGTATTTTCTAGTATATATTACTCAATTTTTCACCACTTCAGACAATGACTGATACTATGAGGATTATGGAATTTGAAACCTGACATGTCAGGAGGGCACCAGAATGCAAACAGCTGATTTAGACTTTATGCTGTCCCACTTTAAATCTCATTCTAGTCAGTAAGCTAGAAGATATTTCTCCAATAATTTGCCCTGGTACCAGCTCTGCATGCAATCCACAGATATTCTAGCCCAAATTTTGAGAACCACCTCTGGAATTTGGAAATAATATTATGGCCATTCTCACAAAATTGGTGCTATAATGGTTATGGCCAATCATAAACCTGAGACTGATCCCCACAAGGTTCTCTGTTCCCTCAATAATACTAATAATACTAATAATACTAATACTACTACTACTACTACTACTACTACTACTAATAATAATAATAATAATAATAATAATAAAGTTGGAAGGGACCTTGAAGGTCATCTACTCCAACCCCCTGCTCAGGCAGGAAACCCTATACCATTTCGGACAAATGGCTGTCCAGTCTCTTCTTAAAAACTTCCAGTGTTGGAGCATTCACCGCTTCTGGAGGCAGGTTGTTCCACTGGTTAATTGTTCTCACTGTCAGGAAGTTTCTCCTTAGTTCTAGACTGCTTCTCTCCTTGATTAGTTTCCACCCATTGCTTCTTGTCCTGCCTCCAGGCGCTTTGGAAAATAGCTTGACTCTCTCTTCTTTGTGGCAGCCCCTGAGATACTGGAACACTGCTATCATGTCCCCCCTCGTCCTTCTCTTAGTTAAACTAGACATACCCAATTCCAGCGGATGTTCCTTATATGCTTTAGCCTCCAGTCCCCTAATCATCTTTGTTGCTCTTCTCTGTACCCTTTCTAGAGTCTCAACATCTTTTTTACATCGCGGTGTAGTTTTCTTCTGTTTTTCTTCTAGGTAACTAAGCGTGGTTCCAAAACACTATTGCAGATTCCTATTAGTTTTTTCTTATAAATACCTCTCAGACGTTAGCAGGGCCCAGAAGAATCTTGGAAATATATAACATGCTTACTTGGCTTTTTATTTTGTAGCACGCTAGTTGCATATTTATTTTAATTTCAATGAACTAAAAAATAAATTAGAGTCAGGTTGGCGGAGTCAGACTAGAAACTGCGAGTCTGGGAGTTCTAGTCCCGCCTTAGGCACAAAACCAGTCAATTTATCTCGGCTCTAGGAAGGAGGCAATGGCAAACCACTTCTGAAAAACCTTGCCAAGAAAACTTCAAGGATTGTCTCCAAGAATTGGACATACGGAACAGAAGGGAAAAAAAATAGGTGGAGCACACAGTAGCATCTCAATTCAAACTGCTATGTTATTTTTAAAGAGGTTATGGCCACAATTGGCAAATCCTCTATCCATTTACCTCTGTGAGTCTGAGACAGTTCAAAGAAGGCTCTGAGAAGACTCTTGGTATGTTCTGTCATCCCTAGGCAAAGGGGAAGGAAAAAAATACTAGCCATTCACTAAATATCTAGGAACTTTTGTTACTTTTCAGTCTACATTTTAACACTACACCAGATGTTTGGTAAAAGAAAACAAAATCAAAATATGGTTGGGGACAAGTCAACACTGATATGTTTTTATTCTGAGATTCTCTGCAGAAGTAACTGAGTGGTGAAAGTTGTACTGACTGAATGCAAATGTCATTTTTTGCTCTTCACTGGTCATGCTCTGTTTTGTGCTTCTGGGAACAATTTGCTCACCACAACTGACATATTCGTTATAAACCACACAAAAGCATCAACTCTTTCCATGGCCCTCTGATGAAGGAAATCTGCTTGTGGCTCTAGGGAAGGAGCTCTACCTACAGACCAAATATCTTGTCAATGAGACTGAAAATAAGCCATGCTGAAGATTTTACTGATAATAAGCCATGTTGTCAATATATCAAGCAAAATAATGCTTCAAGATGCTGTTGTATGGTAAACAGAATATAAGCAACACATGGGCAATTCCACCAGTCACATATGATCCTGACCTCAGGAGCTACGTGTAGCTCCCAGATATTTACTTTTTTCTACTACTGCTTGTTTCCTTCTAAAAAGCTGAGAAACATTCACTCTCAAATTCATAAACTGTTATTGTATTAATTTGCAAGATAGCAGAAGGGGGAGACAATGCAATATCAACCCTTAAGAGGGAAGTTTTATTGTTTTTCGATTCTTGTGTGTTAATGGAGTGGGGGAGACTTACAGTATCTTCACAGCATCATCAGCCACTGTTGAAATGATATAAAGTATGTCATAATTATTATTAATTTGGCACAATAATGGTTAGAATGTTCTTGAAGATGCTGTAAGTCACTAGTGGGGAATTACCTAATTCTGGGTGTTTGCATAAGGGGGGGGGGTTATCTTAAAAAGGCAGTGGGGAAGAAAGGTGTTTGTAGATGTGAAAGAGAGACAGTCCACATCTGCTCATCAAATGTTCCAGATGCAAGTAGGTCTAACCTGCCACTGCATGTATATCATTAAGGGCTGAAAGCCTGCACGTGTGTGTACAATATACTTACTCAAAACAATTGATCTTCCAAGAAATCATCGCTGATATGAGCTGTAAGATAACATTTCCAGACCACAAAGAAAAAAGTGTGATTACCTTTATATAGTTCTGCAGTCCTCTCCAGCTCTTCTAATCGCTTTACCAACCCGTCTATAACAATAAAGAAAATGATTACAACAGTAAATTATTTTAGGAGCATAAAGTGTTACATCTATTATTTCAAATCCGGCAGTCTGTAATGATAGAGGCCAAACGTTGACCTTCTTTCTAGGTAGTTGCCATTGTTATCTCCCAGTGTCTTCTCTTCTCAAGGTTAAACATGTCCAGTTTTTTTCAATACCTTTTCATTGGCCTCCGTTTCTAGTGCCCTGATTACTTTCATGCTTTTTGTGAACCTGTTCCAGTTTTCCTGAAAAGATTAATGTTTGCTTGAGGTGGGCTCGGACTGTAGCATAATAAAGTGGAACCATTATTTTCCATGATTTGGAAA